CACACACACACACACACACACACACACACACACACGGGTTGTGTCACACACATGGGGACTGTGTCACACACACACGGGGGTTGTGTCACACACGCAGTTGTGTCACACTCGCACAGAGGTTGTGACACACACGGGGATTGTGTCACACACATGATTGTGTCACACACAGGGGTTGTGACACAGTTGTGTCACCCACACACACGGGTTGTGTCACACACATGGGCTGTGTCACACAGAGGTTATGTCACACACGGGTGTATCACACACATATGGATTGTGTCACACACACGGACCGTGTCACACACACGGATTGTGTCACACAGAGGGGTTCTGCCACACACGGGCTGTATCTCACACATGGGTTGTGTCACACACACGGGTTGTGTCACGCACACACACACGGGTTGTTTCACACATAGGAGTTTTGTCACACACATAGGAGTTGTGTCACACACATGGGCTGTGTCACACAAGTTGTGTCACATACAGGGGTTGTCACACACGCATGGTTGTGTCACACACACGGGTTGTGTCACACATGGGTCTATCGTACATATATACAGATTGTGTCACACACGGATTGTGTCACACAGAGGGGTTGTGCCACACGGGCTGTATCTCACACATGGATTGTGTCACACACAGGGGTTGTCACACACACAGGTTGTTTCACACACATGGGTTGTGTCGTACACACATAGGAGTTATATAGGAGTTGTGTCACCCCACGCACGATTACGGTTGTGCTGCCGCTGCTCCCATCACACCCATGCGGTTGTGTCACCACGCACGCAGGGTTGTGTCACCACACAGATGTGTAACTGTGTCACTGCACAGACACAGGCCCGTGGTTGTGTCACTGCAGACATGCTCATGGTTGTGTCACCTCCCACCGCATGCCTGTGAGGTTGTGTCACCACGTGCACATGTACAGTTGTGTCACTACACACGGTTGTGTTGCTACACAAGATGTATGGTTGTGTCCTTGCATACAAGTGTGCGGTTGTGTCACTGGCTTGCGTCACCACACGCAGAGTTGTGTCGCTACACTAAGATATATGGTTGTGTCGTTACACACAGGTGCGGTTGTGTCACTAGAGACACACACAGCGGATTGTGTTACCTTACATGTATAGTTGTATCAGTACGCACTGTTGTGTTGCTACACAAAACATATGGCTGTGTCATTGCACAAAAGGGTGGTTGTGTCACTAGACACAGTTGTCATCACACGCACAATTGTGTCACTACTTCTGGTTGTCACTGCACAAAGATACATGGTTGGTCATTACACGCAAGTGTGGTTGTGTTGCTACACACACAGGCTTGTGTCACCACACTGCTGTGTTGTTGCACACGGTTGTATCACTCCACAAAGATATGTGGTTGTCTCATTACACACAAGTGTGGTAGTCTCACTAGAGACATACAACAGAGGTTGTGTCACCACACACGTGTACAACTGTGTTGCTACACACGGTTGTGTCACTACGCACATGTGTGGTCATGCCATTACACCCGCAGGGTTGTGTTACCACACGCATTCATGCAATTGTGTCCCTACACGTGGCCGTGTCACTACACACGCCTCCTTTTGTGCAGTTGTGTCACTCCACACGGTTGTGTCACTACCTACAGATGTATGGTTGTGTCACTACACACCCCCCCCCCCCCACACACACACACACCCCCAAGCTGTATCATAAAGATACGTGTGCGGTTGTGTCTCTATACACACGTGTACAGTCGTGTCACTAGACTGTTGTGCGACTACACAAATAGTTCTCATTACACACAAAGACGTGGTTGTGTCGCTACACACACGCACACAGTTGGGTCACTACACTCGTGCGTGTACGGTTATGTCACCCCACACATATTGTTGTGTTGCCACACACGGTTGTGTCAATATGCACACAGGAATATGGTTGTGTCACCCAACCCAACACACCCGTGCGTGGTTGTGTCCCCCCGCCATGGGCGGCTGTGCCCCGCACACCCGTGGGGCTGTGTCACCACCGTTGTGGGGGTTGTGCCCCCACACCCGCACGCGGCCCTGTCGCTACAGCCCGCGCTCAGGGCGGCGCGGGAACGGGACAGCAGCCCGGACGGCCATGAGCGTGACACCGCGCGGCGCTTCTCCCCGCCGCCGGAAGCGCCCGGCCCCGCCCGCCGCCGGAACCTCTCTTCCGCGCCGCGCGCTCCGCGGTCGGGGAAGGTTGTGGGTGCTGCACGGGGCAAGATGGCGGCGGCGGTCGTTAGGTGGCGGTGCCTGTGGCGGGGTGAGGCCGGCGCGGCCGTTACCGTCCGC